TTGCGCGGATTCCCTCCTCCACCGCGGGCGGGCAAGACGCCCTCGGGAGCGACCCGAGGATGCGTCTGCCTTTCGCGGGAGCCAGACCGGAAGCCTGGCACAGCTGTTCCTGAAAGAGCAGTTTGTGTCAGAGTTCTCTCAGCCCCACCCACCTCACAGGGTGTCTGTTGTGGGGAGGGGAAGGGAAAGGAGTTTGTAAGCCACTCTGAGACTCCAAGTGAAGGGCGGGGTATAAATCCAATCTCTTCTTCTTCTTCTAGCCGCATTTTCCCCATCTGATTGCTCTCCGCCGGTGTAGAGCCACTTCCGTTCGGAAGCCCAAGGCTTCCGCTTTTCATCCTCCATTTTTTTTAAATTGTAGGCGATGTGCGCTTGGGCGAAGCTTTGCCCCGGCGTTAGTAAAAGAAAACTTTAAACGGGGCCCAGTTTCAGCCCTCAGACGAGTCCGGAACCTCACCGAGGCCAGTTTCGATGTCAAAGTTTAAAGGGAAGTCTTCGCTTCAGGGCATGCTTTTTGGGCTACGGTTTCATGCGCATGCGCGACGATCTCAATTATATGAAATATTGCCTATGCGCATGCTCAAACTGTGTAGAAATTAAAAAAAACCCGCCAACGTGCGCTGCTGAGCGCTTGAAGTGTGGACGCTGGGGAGCGATGTGAGAGGTGAGTGTGATCGCACTTCCCCTGGATCAAATTCTTCCAGTTGGAACCGGAGCGGTTTACACCGCTCCCAGCCTGCCGTCTGACCGCACCCCTTCAGTGTCAACAGCTCCTGTTCCAGCTCACCAGGATAACTCCCAGAATGCTTTGCTCAGGGTAGGGCCAGTGGGAAGCGAAAGCCCACCACTAGGCAGTCAAAACGCTTGAAATTGGCACCCGAGAACAAGAATTTGCTCTCTTTTAAGCTAGGGAGAAAGAGGTCACTTCCAAGTCATGTTAAGGTTTACGCCAAGGGGTGATTGTAGTGGAAATTAGGCCACTGTTAGGCTGCGACCACACAGACTAAATAATCCACTTTCAATCCACTTCCCAACTGGATCTTACTGTGGCCCGATCTGCATCTAGCATTCGCTCCACTGTTTTACCAAACCCCCCTGCTGGAACAGAAATCCCCCTCTGCATTGCATGCCGCTTTCATTTTGATTGTCGGATTTCATGGCAGTGTCCAGACTGCATGCCGGCTTTCACTTCGCTTGATCTAGAGTTATGGTCGTTTTATGGTCATTCAGGGGTGTCTCTGCAGTCAGTACAGCGTTGGCCTGCGGTATTTGAATGTGGTTTTGAGCCACATCTTTTTCTGTTCCAGTGTGGGTTTGGAGCAAATGCAAGATACACATTGGGCCTGTGTGAATTGGCAAAATCCAATCTGAAAGTGCACTGAAAGTGGATTATCTAGCGCAAGGGTGTCAAACATGCGGCCCGGGGGCCGGATGAGGCCCCCGGAGGGGCTTCTATCAGGCCTGCTGTGGAACTGGCTGTCTTCTGCTTCTTCTTCCAGTTCTGCTGCTGCATCATCATTGTAGGTTTGCAGCTTACAGTTACACACTTGAACAGCATACTCAAGATTGCAACAGCACAGACATTCTGATGCAATAATTCAGAACAAGAGGAGTCGGTTATCAGACACAAATAAACAAAATTTTGCAAGAGTGCTAATGTTTTAAGCATGTTTTTATTTTAAGTAAAAAAAAACACCTTTGTGTTTTGTGTCCTTTAAAAATTTTATATCTCCGCTACCTGGCATTACGTTTTACGACACACACTGCCGGGGCCCGACAAGGTCTCATTTATGTCAGATCCAGCCCTCGTAACAAATGAGTTTGACACCCCTGATCTGGTGCGTGTGATCGCAACCATGGTTCCAAAGGAGAAACCTTTGGGCAACATACAGGAAGGGGAAAGGGATCCCCCTCAAAGAACCTGACCCTGACTGGGATGGCCCAGGCTAGCCCGATCTCATTAGACCTCGGAAGCTAAACGGGACGGGCCCTGGTCAGTATTTGGATGGGAGGCCATCAAGGAAGTCCAAGGTTGCTACGCAGAGGCAGGCAACGGCAAACCACCTCTGAATATCTCTTGCCTTGAAAATCCTACAGCTGCAACTTGAAGGCACTCTCCATCACCACCAACGAACCCTCTCTTTGGAGCCACCCAGAAGAACCAATGAAAACCTGTGGCCTACTCAAACTGACATAACCAGTCACCCCTAATGTAGCCAGTCCCCCAAGAGCTTACAGAGCTTTTCTTACAGGGGCTACTGTAAGCTCTTGGAGGATTGGCTACATTAGGGGGGGTGTTGCCTAATATGCAAAGGAACTCCTGCTACAAAAAGAGCCCTGGTTCCCTTTAAGCTGAGTTTGTGTGAGCTAGCTCACAGTTTTTGAGCCTCCGACACACACATTTTTGTCAGGAAGGAGGGCTCCAAAGCACACTGGTTTATGCAGTAGCCAAATCGCTTGCTGACAACTTTAATGCCAGTCGCTAAAGAGTAGAATTTTTGCTTACAAGGCTCCACAGCTTAGAGGGAGCATCGGTCATAACTCACAAGGGTGATGGTGGACCGTGAAGCATGGACTTTAGCTTGTAAAACCATCCAAAAAACTGATTGCTAAGACTGATGCAAATAGTTACCATAAGCATAGGTGGGCCTGCACTTCCCTTCACATGGGGAGTCCTCCGAGCTTTACAATTCCAAAGTATTTGTTCAGCTTAACGGGCCCAAAGTACAGACGAGCAGTTATGCTCGCAAGATTAAAGCCATCATCTTCTGTGGTTTCTGAAGGCCGCACATTGGGCACATCATTCTCAACTAGCAGAAAAGAGCGAGAGTCCAGGAGCACCTGAAAGTCTAACAAAACGTGTGGCAGGAGAGGAGCTTCCGTGTGTCACGGCTCACTTCTTCAGGTACGAAAGCTCCTCCCCTGCCAGATGTTTTGTTAGACTTTCAGGTGCTCCTGGACTCTCGCTCTTTTCTACTGCTACAGACAGACTAACAGCCATCCTGATCATTCTCAAACAGATACCGCAGCTGTGGTTTAGGGGCTATCGAAGCTGTAAGACATGTTCTATGCAAAAGTCCCTGGTATAAGGCGAGACAGAAATGGAACAAACCTTTCACACAACAGCGGACCAAGTCCCTCAGCAGAGATTCTTCTTTCTAAATTACTACCAGGTTGAAGAGTAGAAAACAGATTCATTTTTAGTTCAGGCCACGAGAGTTCAGGCAACTTACAAGATAACAGTTGTCTTTGTAGCAGACGTACTAGCCCTGACTGGTCTGCATTCTTCCTTTCTTCTGCATATTCCTAATTACTTTGATAAATGCTACTCAAGACCTATAGGTTGTAGTAGTAGAGGAGGAGGAGGAGGAAGAGGAGGAGGAAGAGGAGAATGGATTTATATCCTGCCCTTCACTTGGAGTCTCAGAGCGGCTTACACTTTCCCTTCATCTCCCCACAACAGACACCCTGTGAGCAGTGTTCCCTCTAAGCTGAGTTAGTGTGAGCTAGCTCACAGTTTTTTAGCCTCCGGCTCACGCATTTTTGTCTTAGCTCAGGAAGGAGGACTCCAGAGCAAACTAATCCATGCAGTAGCCAAATCGGTCGCTCACAGCTTTAATGCCAGTGGCTCACAATGTTGCCTCTAAGCTGTAGAGTCCTGTGAGCAAAAATTCTACTTTGTGAGCTACTGGCATTACAATTGCGAGCGAATGATTTGGCTGCTGCACAGATTAGTTTGCTCTGGAGCCATCCTTCCGGAGCTAAGACAAAAACGGGTGAGCTGGGGGCTAAAAAACTGTGAACTAGCTCACACTAATACCTCAGCTTAGAGGGAACACTGCCTGTGAGGTAGGTGGGGCTGAGAGAGCTCTCTCAAGAACTGCCCTTGAGAGAACAGCTCTGAGAGAACTTGTAACTGACCCAAGGTCATACCGGCAGCTGCATGTGGAGGAGTGGGGAATCAAGCCCGGTTCTCCCAGATTACAGTCCATGCTCTTAACCACCACACCAATCTGGACAGTGAAGGACCTTAGGGTGCTTCGGGCTTTTGCCAAATGCCTGCCACTCCAAATGGCAGGAGGGGTACCCAGCCGTCCGCGTGGAGCTGTACACTCCAGCCCGGGGGCTCCCAAGAGCTGCCAGGGTACTGACGCAGAGAGACCCGACTCCGCCCCTACCCCCCATGGAAGTTCTGGTCACGAGGTAACAAGGACCCAAAAATGAGTGCGGGCCGCCATCACAAAACAACTGATAGGACCTGTCCTGTGCCTCCGACCCAGCTGAGAGGGAAAACGAGAAAGAAAAGGCTGAAATAATTTAATGACTCAGGCCAGCCTCCTGCACGGTGACTGGGAGCACGGAACGCCAAATGACGGTGGAATTACAGGCATCAGCAGGAAAAGGGGGGTGCCCAGGGGAGGGGACAGCGGCAAGCAACCCACCCCCTTCCTTTCAGTCGGAGGCCTGCGGCTTGCTCAGCCCGTCGGCGTACTGGAAGTCCGTCCCATTCTCATAATCGTACATGTCCAGGGCCACTTCGCAGCTCTCCCGGACCACCCGCTCCTCGTCCCGGGCGTACGCCTGCAGAGTGGCCAAGCAGGAGGCCTTGGCGATGGAGCCCAAGGCCTCGGCACACTCGTGGCGCACCATGGGGTTCTCGGACGCGTCCTCCAGGGCAGCTGTCAGCTGCGGGATGGCGGCCTCGTGCTGCATCTGACCCAGGACGTACGCAATCTCGTGGCGGAAGAGGGCACTGCCGGCTTTCAGGCCTGGAAGAGAGGGTTTGGGATATTCAGTGAGGTGATGAGAGGGTTAAGAACATCAAGAGAGTCCTGCTGGATCAGTCTAATGGGCCATCTAGTCCCGCATCCTGCCTCACACAGTGGCCAACCAGTTCCTCTGGAGGGCCAACAACAAGGGCATAGAGGCCAAGGCCTTCCCCTGATAAGAACATAAGAAAAGTCCTGCTGGATCAGACCAGTGGTCCCTCTAGTCCAGCATCCTGTCTCACACAGGGGCCAACCAGTTCCTCTGGAGGGCCAACAACAAGGGCATAGAGGCCAAGGCCTTCCCCTGATAAGAACATAAGAAAAGTCCTGCTGGATCAGACCAGTGGTCCCTCTAGTCCAGCATCCTGTCTCACACAGGGGCCAACCAGTTCCTCTGGAGGGCCAACAACAAGGGCATAGAGGCCAAGGCCTTCCCCTGATAAGAACATAAGAAAAGTCCTGCTGGATCAGACCAGTGGTCCCTCTAGTCCAGCATCCTGTCTCACACAGGGGCCAACCAGTTCCTCTGGAGGGCCAACAACAAGGGCATAGAGGCCAAGGCCTTCCCCTGATAAGAACATAAGAAAAGTCCTGCTGGATCAGACCAGTGGTCCCTCTAGTCCAGCATCCTGTCTCACACAGGGGCCAACCAGTTCCTCTGGAGGGCCAACAACAAGGGCATAGAGGCCAAGGCCTTCCCCTGATAAGAACATAAGAAAAGTCCTGCTGGATCAGACCAGTGGTCCCTCTAGTCCAGCATCCTGTCTCACACAGGGGCCAACCAGTTCCTCTGGAGGGCCAACAACAAGGGCATAGAGACTGAGCCCTTCCCCTGATAAGGGGATAAATGCGAGATGGGGAGACAGTAGCACTCTCCCAGTTAGCTCCGCCTGGGTTCTCGGTCCTTCACCAGTCTCGGACAATGGGGTGGGTGGGGGCAGGAGTGGCTTTGTTCATTCGAGAGGCTTACTCCTTCAGGGCACTCCCGGTGCTGAGGCTCACAGGAATTGAGTGTGCCGGCTTTGTATGGGAAGCCGGGGAGAGTTTGGATGTTTGGTTGGTGTATCATCCGCCCAACGCCTCCTGACAGTCTGCTGTCCCTGGTGGAGTCTGTGTCGGGCTGGGCGTTGGAGCACCCTAGACTGATAGTCCTGGGTGACTTCAATGTGCATGCCGACGATGTGGCTTCCTCATGGGTGATGGACCTGATGTCGTCCATGGTGGTGCTGGGCCTCTCCCAATATGTAACGCCCCCCACTCCCCGAGCCGGTCACATGCTTGACTTGATCTTCGCGGTGGGGGTTACAGTGGACCGGATTACTGCTACGGCAGTTCCATGGTCGGACCACCATGCCGAGGGCCCGAGTGAATGTGTCACCCCTACCCTGTTTGGGCAGTGAGTGTATTTTAGCTCGCCCGCGGAGCCAAATGGACCCAGTGCGGCTTCAGATGGCTCTGCAGGATCCTATGCCCCCTGGCAGCTCATTAGATGAGCTAGTCGAGGACTGGCACAACCAGCTCTCGACAGCCATCGATGAGATCGCTCCCAGACGCCCTCTGCGCCCGCGCACAAGGCTGGGTCCCTGGTACACCCAGGAGCTGAGGCTGATGAAGCAAAGGCTTAAACAGCTAGAGAGACAGTGGCGGCATGCCCGCGACGATGCAACAAGAGCATCCTATAGGACGTTTATGAAATCCTGAGGCGGCAGTCAAAGCTGCAAAGAGGGAGTTCTATGCAGCCTCGATTGCGTCTGCTAGCTCACGCCCAGCACAATTATTTAGAACAATTCGGTCTCTAACAGCTCTGCCACAGGGCAGACAAAACAC